TATATATAGGAGGCAGTCAGTAGAAAAGGGGGAAATTACCACTATGATAAAACTTAGTAAGACAATGATTGTTCATTATGTGATTAGTAATGGGCAGTTTTCCCCCTTTTCTACTGACCGCCTCCCATATGTTAATGAGAAATGATATTCAAAAATAAAATGAACGTAATACGTAAAAAAAAAAATAGACGTAAAAAAATAAAACTAACAATGAAATTGTGATTAATTTAGTAAAGTTCAATAATATGATGTTTCATAATTTAACTTATCATTTACTTGTATTTTATTTTAATATTTATTTTAAAAAAATTCATTATTATTTATATATTCAATTAGTTAGAATAAAAAATTTATCTTCCATAGTTTTATTTTTCATATTAAGGTAGGTTTTACTACAGAGTTTATTCTATCTTTTATTCATTTATTTAATTAATAAATTAATTAAATTAATTAAAATAAAATAAGTATGAGAATCTTTACCCTAAATTCTGAAAATTGGGGAAATCCACATGATACTGTATAGCGATCTGCGTATGGGGTATGGTTCAAAATCCCAAAAAAGGGGGTATAACATTAATTCTTCGCCATGACAAAGTTTTTTCATAAATACTACTAACAAAAAACATATTTACCAAAAAAATATGCTCAACTTGATTCTTGATTCCACTCTAGCTTTATTATAAACCCAATTTGAGACCATCCAAATTAAGTCCCAAAAATTAGGACCAATCTAGTAGTAAAAGTAAGGCGCTTGCTAAAAAGTTTTGAAGAATCATGCCATGATTGAAGCGTACGGCTAATGAGTTTCAATTTAGGAAGTTCAATTGACAATTCATTCAGATTTGGGATATTCGTTTCAGACTGAAAGACATCCACGTGTTGAAACACTTATTTTTATCTTTTTATTCTCGTTTATTAGATCTTTTCATTTTATAATTGGTGAATATGAGATTTACTGCAAATCTTATAAAATGAATGAATATATAAATATTTTTAATTTTTAATTTTTTTTGAAAGATAATCCGTTTTTAAGATGATTTTTTATATAAGGACAATATTTAGGATTAAGTCATCAATAAATTTGATTATAAAGAAATCATTTATCCTAACAAACTAACAGATATCTCATTAATCATGAACCGAAATTTTATTTTTGTTTTTATTTTGTTAGCCACTCTTTCCATGGTTAATGCTATTCCACTTCAGAAAAGAGCAACTGTATTTGGAAAATGTCCTCCCATACCTGATTTACCTACTCAACCAGAAGAAATCTCTGTATCAATTTCACCTGATCCTGTCGTTCCTGGACAAACTGATACTTTTACTGTTTCCGGAACACTATCGAAAGAAATCACCGATGAATACAAGCTTGTTATCGCATTGGCTGATCTTTCAGGAAAAACTTACGCTGCTTATTTTGAGGATATGCCTCCAACTAAACCCAATACCCCATTTAATGTAGTAAAAACAGAATCAATACCAGAAGATTTACCTCAATCATACGCTATTGGGGTTGGTGTTACAACATTAGCTAATCCACCTGATGTTATTGGCTGTGCATTGGCAGTTGTTGGTGGTTCCTCGTCTAATATCGCTTCATTTCCTATCGCTATCCCATAAATTTTTACAAATCTTTTTTTAATAATTTACTTTTTTTTTCTTAATAATTTACTTTTTATAATCTTACATATTTATTAAATCAAAATTTATGTTATTAATAAGATTTATTTGATTAATTTGATCTAAAACAGTTGAAAGTTCATTTGTTCACTTCATTTTACTAAGTAATAAATTTCTAATAAATTAATGAAATAAAATTCGTTGCATAAGTTGTGTGCTAACCTTAATCTATTTTTCCCCGAAAAACGTGAGAAAAATGTGGAAGAGCGTCTACTGGCATATAAGCCAATACATTGCAGAAACCCAATATTTTTAAACAACGTTGACACTGCGCCAAAATCACATGATTCATCCGTTATTTTGTGCGTTGTTATTGAGCAAATCGTTCCGTAACCTAAACAATCATTGTCGGACTGATTCCCAACAACATTCATTTTCCCGACGTAACCTTTTCCTCCCGACAGGGCAAAATATTTTCCCGAATAGCATATTTTCCTGACATGACATTTTCCCGAATTCAATTTATGAAAATGTAAAGTTGGTTGGGTATATAGTGTGACCGTGAAAATAGTCTTTTAACCATTTTCAATAGTTGTGATGATTAGATTATTCTTTTCTAGATTATTTAAGAGGAATTGCGCATACTATTTCTCTTTAATTTTTTTCAATTTGTAAGTTTTTACTTATAATACTTTATTAAATTTATAGTAAATATGGTTCCTTTCGTCTGTTTAATTTGTTTAATTTGGGTGTTTTAATTATGTTATGTATAAGAAAACATTGAGGATATTTTTAATGTTATTTACAATAAATAAAGAAATAATAAAATTTATAAAATAGCTGCTTTATTACTGTAATTGAATTTTAATTTTATTAAAGGTATAAATTAATAAAAATAAAAATAAATTACGTAAGTTTAGTATAATACTAGCAGTCACCCGTTTGCGTTTACCTTTTTTTTTGTTTGTTTGTTTGCTTTTTTTTTTTCTGCATAAATAAATTATTTTTGATAATAAAGGGCGTACGAAGAATTTTTAAATTGTTTAATTGATTTTTGTAATCAAAAGGTAAATGTTTATTTAGATGAAGCTTTTAAAAAATTCTGTTATATTGTACAATTTCTATTTTGGTTTATTTATGCAAATACTTTTATTTTTACCAAATAAATAAAAATAAATAACTATTAATAATTAAATAATAATAATAATAATAATAAATTTGTAAAATTATGCGACTTTAAATAACCAAACAACGAATAATGATTAAACGACGCCATAATCAATTTATTACATCACGTGACAATCGTGACATGTACGTGAAATGTAAACTAAATACAAAATCTAATTGATCGATAAGCATGCGGGACATAACGACATTGCATCTGAAACGGTCCTACGCTACGCTTTGGACAATAAAAAAATAATAATTAAATAAAGAATATAAAATCTTTGGGAGATAGAAAATGGCATCTAATCTAAAGAAAGCGAGTAAGGGAAAAATTACTAGTATCAATAAATTGTTGAAAAAGTTATAAATAATAAATCAGCTTTTTCTGAGGACATTATATGGATAATTAAAAAAATTCCATGCCAATTCTACATAAAGTTAGTAAACCACAATGTATAAAACACGAATTTTTTTTTACCTGCATTTTTACTTATAAACGCGTATAAAAACGTGCATAATGTATTTATTTGTTTATTTATTTAACACAAGACATATCATTGTAAATTACATGATAAATACATGGATAAGATAATTAAATCATAAAGTACTATCTAAGAATCTACAAACGCCCCTTGAGAGACCACCTGCCTAATTTTATAAGTCAAGAGTGCTGGTTCAAGACCTATGTTAAATGAAGAGAATCGAAATCGAACCTGAATCTATAGATAAAGAAAAAAATTAGAAAAAGAAGTGGAATAATGAAGACTAAAATTATTAAAATGTTCCCTATAATTAAAAAATAATAAATTTTGATAAGATTAAAATGAGAAAGCCATGATCCAGCGTGTAAAAAGTTGCTCGAGGAAAAAATTAGATATTGCATTAATTCTCGAAAAAACCCAAATTCATGTTTAAATTTTTAGAAATATATGGAAGACCTGATGTCAGTTGTGATGAGTTATTCGATCTACGTCGTGTTAGGGGATTGACGTCTATCGAGGTTATCCTGATCGTAATTCCAATCCATTTAAGAAACTCCAAGTTTCAGCAAAGAATTTGTTCAGGTATTTCTTTTTCATTTTTTTAGAAATATTTAATGTTTTGTCACTGTATTTGTTCCAGATTGATGTATTGAAATTATCATAACAGTATTCCATAATTTTGACACAACACTACATACGAGTATTTTTGGATTTAATGAAAAATGCTAGGTGATGTTAGCGGTGTGAAAGTTTAGAATTGATAAATGTGTTGTGAGAGAATTTGAAGATCGATCAAAGTATCAAGTCGAATGTAAATTTTTCGAAGTCGTGTACATAAAATAAATGTTCATTATCCATGTCGGTCCGGGCACTTTTGTTGGTCATGATATAAATTTGGAAAAAATCATTTTTGAACATCGGTCGTTGGTAACGAGTGAGCAAGTCTATTGAATTTAATGGACAAGAAACTGTTAGTGCGGATAACAGCTGTAGTCAAGCATTTAACAAATCAGGATTTAACATTGTATAAGTTATTTTATTACATATTCGCAGGTGTCATCATAGCTGAAATGCTAAAAAAACACCACATTCAACCGATCAACAAAGGTTCTAACCTTACATTTCATGTCTCAAGTGTCTAGGTTATATCCTTCGTGGTCCGCCCATGGTTTTAACCCATGTCCATGATATACTTTGACTTGTCATGCTGTGTCATAGAAACAAATCATGCTAATTAATTTAATCCAACAATATATGATTATACTCACTTATAGTCATATACGGACATTTATGTCCATGATATTTGTTGATAATGCTCCTTGTCAGATATGGCTGTGATATTTGTTGTCAATTGCTCATGATGATACTCCTTGTCAGATACGGACATTTATGTCTGTAATATTTGTTGATGACACTCCTTGTCAGATATGACCATGATATTTGTTGTCAATTGCTCATAATGATGCTCCTTGTCAGGTATGGACATTTATGTCCGTGATATTTGTTGATGATGCTTCTTGTCATATACGACCATGATATTTGTTGTCAATTGCTCATGATGATACTACTTGTCAGGTACGGACATTTATGTCCGTGATTTTTGTTGATGATGCTCCTTGT